TTGGTGTGTGGGTATAAAATTACAAAAGAAAATGTTTTTATCCTTTGATATTTTTGGATATTTTGAAGAATAATGTCATTTTTCGATGTTTCTTTTTTTAAATGTCAATTTTGACAGGTTAAGGAAATCACGTGACCTATTTTGTAGATGCCATTTGACATCATTTCTTAAGCAAAATCTACTGCCAAAATCAAATTTCACATAAAACGATAAATAAAATAGTTTCCCATTCGATGCGGACTTTATCGGTGACACTGTATAATTTTTTTAAATAACTTTGTAATGTATCCTATAGCCTTGGGAGATAGAAATGTTTGTCGGAAGCTGGAAAGAGTAAAAAAGTGTTATTTCAACTTTACATCTACTTGTTGTTAAGATGTGCTTTGTTGTTCACATGGTGTTGGTCAACTGGTGTTCAGATATGTTTTATAGTACAACTTGTCAAATCTAGGAGCGACTCCAAAGTCCAGGCTTAGAGCTAAGATGTACACTTACATCCTCCATCATCCCTTATTTTATCCCCTTAGGGTGGAATTTATCAAACTTCTTTCTAAGGGGATGCCTACGTCATAGTAGTTTTATGCATGCAAAGTATCAGTCCGATCGGTTTAAAATTGACAAAGTTTCATACAAACTTTCATCCCCTATTTCATCCCCTTGGGGGTGGAATTGATCAAAATCCTTTCTTAGCGGATGCCTACGTCATAACATCTACCTGCATGCCAAATTTCAGCTCGATCCGTCCAGTGGTTTGGGCTGTACGTTGATAGATCAGTATGTCAGTCGGTCATCTTTGAGTTATATATATTTAGAGATGAGCCATTACCTAGCTACCGTCAAATGGAGGGAGTAGAAAAAATGTTTATATACGTTGTCTATTATTTAGGTTATAAAAACAAGGTTCCTGAATAGATGATAGATAATGTCGAACATAGCAAAGTACTTTCTCGGTATTGTCCCTCAACTGATGGCCATCGTTCCTTCCGATTCCATATGTTCCAATTCGAAAAATTTTATTAGTTACCTTGCTTATCGAGTAATCCCTGTTCTTTAGTTTCGATGGTTTCTCTGATTTGCTGGCCTCGGAAATGGTTTTAAGCTATTCGTTTTGCGAATTCGGAGTTACTTTTGAGTCCCGTTTAGAGATGATGTTGGAATAGGAAATACGTTGTTGTTTGACTTCATTTTTATGAGCTTGGACTCTGGTTCATATTTTTTTATTAGTCTGACCGATGTATTGTTCGTTACAATCCCCACATAATATATTGTCTACACTGTGATTTTCAAGAGCAGTTTTGTCTTTTGCCCACGTTGGGATATCGTTGTTTTTGGTTTGTAGACTGTGTGGATGTTTTTTCTCCGCAACTATTGTTTCTATTTTGTTTTTGACATCTTTGATGAAAGGAACTGTCACAGTTTTTTATTCTGCGGCTAAACTTCTTCTTGTTTGGCGGAGTTTGTTTTTTTGATGACTTTTCGTTGGTTTATTGCTTTTTTGATGGTTTTTAGGTCATAGCCATTTTTTCGGAGGGCTTTCATGATTTCTTTCAGTTTTGCCTTTCTGTTGATTCCGTTAGGCGGAAACATCACGTCACTGTTGTATCGACAATGGATTCCAGTTGAGTGAGTTGATAATAGGATTCCGCATATAGATACCTGTTAGTGTGAGTGAATTTTCAGTACAGAGTCTATCCTAGGGTTTCGGTTGAGTTTATTTTGATGAGCAAGTGAAGGAAGGATAGTTTGCCCTCCTGGACCTGCCCATTGAAAAAGAAACTATCGGAAACATCTCTAATTTTTTTATTGAGAAAGATATAGACAAGGCCTCCACAACAAATACTAGTTTGTGTAGATTAAAAGAAATGAAGACAAAACTTCACTGTTGGATTGATCAGAAGTTAATAAGTTGACTTGTGGTTCCTATCTCTGAATGTATATTGGCCAAACTGGGATAACTCCCTTCAAAAGAATAGTAGTTTTTTAAATGGCGTGCACGAGTTCAATTCTGATTGCGATATATTGTGTTTGGAAAATAGTTAAAACTCAATCTTCTGGAACGCTTATAAATCAATAGATTTCGAAGTAGAAATTGTTACTTGAGATCGAACATACCTGAAGAAGCCATCGTTCGATGGCTTCTTGGTGACACACGTCATGTGTGTCACACATGACGTGTGTCACCACATCATGTGTGACACACATGACGTGGTGTTGGGTGAAATGTTGCTTGAATACATGCCATCAAATAACAAACAAAAAAAACTAACATTATTTTAATGATGAAATAGTCGAGAACATATTAAAATATTTGTCATCATTTCTATCGATAATTTCGAAATAATCACTCTACAGAATGATTGTCATTGGTAATCTTTCAGTGTGTATACA